TGTTCCATGTGAAAGATGGACCTTCTCCTTTCATGACATTTACTGCCTCTGAAAACCGGCTGGAGGTCAGCTACAGGTGATGTGACAACAGATATAAAGAGAGTGTCCTAGTGGATAATGAATTGTGTTGTCAATCCAAAGGCATGCTGTTCAAATGCATCAGCTGTTCTATAGGAGAAAGATAGGCAATCTCCTCTCATAAGATTTATGGCCTCTAAAACCCTGCTACAGGGTCATTTATGAGCTGGTTTGGACTTAGTGGCACTTAACAAATACATATATACATAGGATTCAAAATTTTTTTTATGTAAGCATCTTTACTAAAATGCTTATTTAGAAAAATATGTAACAATGTACATTTAATATTTCTAATTTATAACATAAAATTATAAGTTATGATTGCGTTAGTTCTAAAAAGTAATTAAAATGTGATTTGCTCCATTATTATTTTGACTATAGGCTAATAAGTTTTCATACAGCTGAGCATTATAAGCTTAAATTAGTTTGCGGCTTTTGGAAATGCTGAATTTAAAGACAGTATCTTACCTTCTGAGCTCCCCTAGAATCCTTTAAAGTACTTATTAGCTCTTCTAGGCCCTTTAACTTTAATTCCATCTCCAGTGATTTGTTCTCCATATTTCTGCGTTCATTTTGACAATTTTTCATTTCTTGCATTATCTTAAGTTTATCATTTTGCAGCTGAATCATTGTTTTAGAGAACTTTTCCTGTTGTGCCAAAGGTAAAGCGCCACTAAATTGTCTTCTTAGAGACTGAATTGTTTGGCGCAGATGTTTTGCTCGGTTTCTGCCCTCCAAGCGAGCATAATAGAGAGCCTGTTCTTTCTCATCAAGTTTTTGCTCTAAGCGTAAATTAAAAGCCTCCATCTTCTGCAGTTTAGATGTAATTGATTCCAATTTACCAAGCGAAGCAGCCTCACTAATTTGAAGAGAGACAATATGTTGATGTAACTTGGCAATTAGTGCCTTTTCATCAGATTGTGCCTAATTAAAAAAAAAAAAAACATTTGAAGTAAGCTCTAAATTTTTCCTATTTATCACCAGGTTAAAATCAGTTTCCTAAATATAATTTTAAAGCAAATGTATATTATGAAAGGTTAACCTTTGCTTTAAAACAAA